CGTCAAGCAATTACTGAATCTTTCGTCGTCAACGCATGAGTCATCACCGTTCAACTTTTGCAGTATAAAGATTCGCATTTCGTTCGTTACAAATCATTGCAAACGGTAACCCAAAATATTTCTTGAATAATTAGTGATTTTTTAAAATTTGTGTTAATTTGTATTCATTTTAACAGTCTATATTCGCTTAATTCTTTCAGTACGACGTAAATTTGCAGAATTATTCAGTTAAATTCATTATTCCAATTTAGGGCTTCTTTGAAGAAAATGAAGCCTCCGGCTCCTCCTCCGCCGAAATTTGCTGAAAATTCCCATGGCACTTCCTCTATGACTGTCATATCTGAATGTTCTGAAGCTTCGCTTTGTCGGAGGCTTGAAGGCGATGGTCATCTGAACAAGCACGGTTCGGCAAGCAGTGATGATGATCACTCGTCAGACAGAAACGTGGCCAATGTTAAGCCAACGCCTGGTAATTTGGCAGATGAAAGTGGACTGTCTAGTCAAGAAACGACAAATGGTGATGGACACCTCACGCAGGCTGACAAGCCTGTTCCTCGGCATCGGAAATCCAAATCTGCTACCATTAGTATTCATCCTCCGGTTAAATCGGCCAGTTATCAGAAGCTTAATGAAGCGTGTTCTAAACACGAGGAGGATCTCCGCTTTTCATCCAATGAAACATCGCAGCACTCGGGCGGCGGCGTGAAGGACGGGCTCAGATTCGGTATGGTGCCAATGCGCCCTCCTTTGCCAAGCAAGGCCGCGTTCGAACGGCGCTCTTCTCTGAAGCATTTGCCTTCTGAATCGAAAACCGGCGTTGCTGCTTGTCGTAGTACATTCATTGCCGTGAAGCCACCGAGCAACGACGACGAAGCCGTTCCGTCGCGTAGTTCCAGGTTCGATTCGTTTTCTAGCGAAAGCAGCAACGACGATAGCTTATTGGAAATGACCGGTTCCACCGACGACATATGCAATCGGCTTTCGAAAAGTGCTGTTGAACTAAAGCCGTGCGAGTTTCAGTTTCAACGCAAGGTGGACGTTGCTCGCAACCCCTGTGAAGGGATTCATGCGAAGCCGTCGCGCAGAAATCTTCCGTCCCCTGCTGCCGCCGCCGCCGCCACCGCCGCCGTCTCACGCGTCAGCTCGTTCAAACCTCCGTTGCCTAGCAAACCGAAGTTGCACGACGACGACGGCGACATAACCAAACTGTGACCGGTCGTCGAACGCTTTGCTGAACGGTTCTTCAGTTAGATCTTCGGTCACTGCTGCGCTGTGTATGTCCTGGTTCTCTGTGCGTCCAATAAACTTGCTCAGTAGCCTTGGAATATGTTTTTGAATGCTTATTGACTAGTCATTTGCTGCTCTCGTTCTGTCAATACCTTTTCACTGTCTTGTGTATGCACTATTCGAAAACGTTTGAACATGTTTCTGTCATGCTTCGTGTATGATATTAATGCGACTGTCATAATTCGATCACTGTGTAGATGTTGACTTCGCGCCATTTGATATTCGGTACACCGTTATTTGATTTTTTTCTGCTGTTTCTATGCTTTGCAGTTTGCGTTGCATGTTAAACTGTTGTCAGCGATTTCTCAAGTAATTTTGTTATGTTCAGTCATCAGTGTTTCAACGAAAAATGTTTCGTGATCTTTACGTTTCAGAAGAAAACTGTAAAGGCAATGAAAGTAAATGTACCCCTTGCTTCTAGTCGCATTGGAGGTCCACTTAAACAGGCAACCGTCTCATGGTATTTGAGTACCTGCAGTGGATTGAATGAGGATAATATCTCTGAGTTGGGAAGAATAAGGGTGCGCTCGAAATCCTGGAGTAGCTACCTCGAGGCTTTGTAATTGCGCCCATAATGATATCACTTCAATTTTTAATACTGGATTTAGTGATGTACTGTTGCGCCCAGTGTACTGCATATGCTTAAGTACCATAGATCCTGCTGAAATAGTACCCCTAATGGCAAGGAAGTGGTCCATTTAACCGAGTAAATCCGATAGGAGAAATTGATGTACTACGATTACTGGCGGAATAAGTAAGCTAATATGTGGTACATACCTAGAGACAGCGGGATTATATCTTGTCTGGGTGGTAAATGTTCGGCGCTACATTATTCTACCTTTAGACAATGCTTTATCGTCGGATTTTTTCTCTTGACTATTGAAACATTTTTAGTCAGTAATGTTGTCTTAGTTCGCTTTAAAATTTTCGATTATATAGCATTGTGTTAACCAGAGATTTAATTTTTGCTAAATCTACACTCACATCGTGCTACTTCTACGTTTTCAAGTGTATACCTTCCATTTGTCAGAAGCGTAGGTATCTAAACAGTCTACGTTTTGTACTTTTTGCACCCTAAACGTTATTTGAATTGACAAGAGTTTCTTCATTAAGACTTTTTTAGCTGTATGATATCAGGCCCCTGTATTTTTGCTTTTATTTCTAACAATATATATGGCAGTTGTCGCTCATGCCGCTTTAACTGAACTGATCTCAGAACGGAGTGCATAACTGGATTGTTGCAAACTCTCTTACGTTTTGCTGATGCCTTGGAAAAATCTCCATTTGAAACAATAATGTGGCACCATTAGCCAAATACCAATACATCATTATGTGGTACTCCAGAAAAAACCCAATACTGCATGATGGACAAGAGTCCACGATTGCTTCTTTCAGTAACACCTCTGTTTACTGACCATGAGTGAACTAAAGATCATCCGCCGCATATTGATATTCTTTTATTTTTAAGCTAACAGCAGAAATGCAATATGACCACGCACTTTCTAACCCAATTTCTGGCAGTTGTTGCAAAAGAAGCTGGCAATCTGAAATACGTGTATGGCATACCTCCTACTTACTTCATCATATGGAGACTTAAGATTTCTGGGTAATACGGATGCAAATGTCCCAGAGTCTTCTGAAAACATTCGAAGATTGGTCGTCATGATATTAAATTTATTTACAGATTGGAAGTAGATGAGAAACTTGTTTTTCTGATGACCTAGTATGTGGTGAAAGAGCATATGAATATTGAAGTACATAAATTAATGCATAAAAATGAACCTGATTTTATTTGTAAACTAGCATTCTGTTACCTTATATATGCATATTTTTTTTGATACAGGACTGAGACGGCGTAATATCGCCGTCCTGTTGCTTCTAACGGCCTAGGGGACCATTTGGGCAAGCCCAGTTCCATGGTATTAGAGCTCCTGCAGTGCATGACCGCAAAACCGCATCACTGGGCAGGACCGAAAAAAAGCCTGTTTCGACATCTGCCGACATGCCACTATCCGTAAGCATATTACTTCTTACTAATGTTGTTGCTGATTTGGTAACATTCGATCAGTTTCAGCCATTTCGAACTGTTCTACTCCTCTTGACAATGTTAGGCTTGATTGTTAATAAGTACTCGTGAAAGCTTTCGTGTCATCTTAGTGCATGAGAACCTCACTAAACGAGAAAGTCTGATGGCCTCTGAATATTCACAGTCCCTGTTGCGTTCCGCTACTGTCTTCAGTTGAATTTATTCAGACAATGGGGCAGAATGCTGATGAAAATATAATCATACAAAAAACAAACCAAGACAAAGTGATGAATGTGAATCAAATTCCCAGATGAAATGTCCCTCTAAACGCAACAGTGGTTAAAAGGCATTAGAGG